AGGGTAAAAATTGCCCTTTGTGCAAAAATGCTGGTATAGATCTGTAGAAGCCTGATGTATGGTAGTGTAAGTTCTGTAGCTTCATTCTTCCTTTCCCAAGAGAACTTTGATTTTTAGTTGTTGGTTTTTGTTTTTGTTGTTTTGAATTTCCATGTAAATTTTAGAATCAGTTTGTCAATTTCTCTTCTTCAAATAAGTTTGCTCAAATTTTGATGGGGATTGTGTTGAAGCGATATAGATTTCTGAAGAGAATCAACATCTTAACAATACTGAGTGTTTTCACAGGGAACCATAGTATCTCATACTTTCCTGGTTAATAGTAGTTTTTGTTAATTCCTCGGGATTTTCTACCTAAACAGGGGTCATCAGTGTCATCGGTGAATATCTTTCAGTTCTGATTTTGATAATTTGTGTTTTCTCTTTTTTTCCCTCAATTCATCTAATTAGGGATTTACCAACTTTACTTACTAAAGAACCAAGTTTTGTTAATTTTCTCTGTTGTTTGTTGCCTATTTCATAGATTGCTTCTCTTTTACTATTTTCTTTTCATCTTCTTCCTTTCACATTTTTAAGCATTTAAAGACATATATGTGCCTCTAATTACTTCTTGAGCTACATTCTACAAATTCTGGTAGAAATCTATTTTTTAAGATTTTAATTTTATTTTTAATTTTTTTTTAATGTTTATTTATTTATTTTTGAGAGCGAGAGACAGAGCACGAGCAGGGGGGGAGCAGAGAGAGAGGGAGACACAGAATCCGAAACAGGCTCCAGGCTCTGTCAGCCCAGAGCCCGACGTGGGGCTCGAACTCAAAAACCATGAGATCATGACCTGAGCTGAAGCCGGACGGACGCTCAACTGACTGAGCCACCCAGGCACCCCAAGATTTTATTTTTAAATAATCTCCATATCCAATGTGGAGCTTAAACTCACAGCCCTGAGAACAAGCGTTGCATGCTCTACTGAGCCAGCCAGTGCCCCTAGTCTGAAACATTTTTAATTCAGCGTGATTTTTCTTTGATCCATGGATTATTAGAAGCAATTGTCAAATGTTTGGAGGTTATCCAGATGTTTATTTTTACTGGTATCTAATTTAATTCCATTTTGGTCAGAGAACCATACTCTAAAATTTCAGGATGTTTGTTTTGTCTACTTAGGTTTCTTTTATGGTTCAGCGTGTGGTACGCCTTGGTGAATGTCCCATCTATACTTGGAAGAAAGTATATTCTGCAGTAGTGGGTATAATTTGTTTTAGAAAGGTCAGGGTAGTTGATAAGGTTCAGATTTATATCCTTTGTGATTTTTTTGTTGTTGTTGTTGGTATTAAATACCGAGGAGTGTTTAAGATTTCCAACTATGATAGTTTATCTTTGATAATCAGTTTTTGCTCCCATGTATTTTAAAGCTATATGACTTAAGTGCATATACATTTATAATTATGTCTTCTTGATGTTTGACCTTTATGGACATAGAATGTTTCTCTTTAAATATACCTTATTGTGAAATATATTTTCTCTTATGTTATATGGAAAAGCCACCCTAGCTTTTTTTCAAAGCTTTTTAAAAAATGTTTTATTTACTTTAGAGAGAGAATAAAAACAGGTAGGTAGGGGAGGGGCAGAGAGAGGGAGGTGCCGAGGATCTGAAGCAGGGTCCGCACTGAGAGTAGTGAGTCGGATGTGGGGCTCAAACTCAGAAACCATGAGATCATGACCTAAGCCGAAGTTGGACACTCAACTGACTTGAGCCACCCAGGCACCCCCACCCCAGCTTTTTTAAGATTAGTGTTTGCATAATGTATCTTTTTTTTATTTTTCAGTTTAATCTGAATCTGTGTTTTTATCTTTAAATGATGTGTCTTGTAGACAGCAGATAGTTAATTCTTGCTTTTTTTTCTGATTGTTTCATGGTTTTTGCCCTTTAATAGGAGTGCCTATGTAGTCCATTGACATTTATTGTAAATATTTGATTTGTTTGGATTTAGGTGTGTGTCATTCTTCTTATTTTGTTTTTGTTGTTGTTCTGGGTTCTTTTTTTTTTTCCCCCTGCCTTCTTTTGGGTTAATCAAATATATTTTTAAAAAATGTTTATTTACTTTTGAGACAGAGACAGAGACAAAGAAAGAACAGGAGTGGGGGAGCAGAGAGAGGGAGACAGAATCCCAAGCAGGCTATGCACTGTCAGCTCAAAGCCTGACTGGGCGATCTCAGGACTGCAAGATCATGACCTGAACTGATAGGAAGGGTTGACACTCAACTGACTGAGCCACCCAGGGGCCCCTGGATTAATCAAATATTTTATAGCAACAGTTCTTAAAGTTTGATTCAGGGGACCTTGGAACATCCCATGACCCTGGAAGTGTCAAAATTATCATGTGAATAATTCTGAGGTGTTATTTTCCCCTTGGCTCTCCATTTTCTTTTAAGTGCATGGTTTAATTTTCCAGAGGCCACATGACATGTGATATCACAACAGACTGAATGCAAAATCAGATAATGAGATCCATTTTTTTAAGCGCAAACGTATAAAACAGTGCTATTATTCTCACCTTTTTTGAGAGTATAGTTTATTTTCATTACTTGTAATTTTTAATATGGTATAAACATCGACAGGTACAGTGCACATAGAGAAAAGCTCTTTGGGATCTTGATTGATTTTCAAAGTGTTAAAACCAAAAAGTTGAGAATTGTCACTCTAGGGGTTATAAATTGCATCTTAAATTTATGGCAATCTATTAAAAGTTAATATTGTACTAGTTGATATAAATTGTATAAAAAGCTTGAAACATTTTTCATTTACTTTCTTCCTGTATTTGTGCTTTTTTTTAAAATATATGTATGTGTGTCTATAATACAATATTATAGTTTGAAGAAAAACTATATAGTCTTTTTAAATTTTAAATTTATTTACTTGTTTTTTAGTACTCTATACCCAGTGGGAGGGCTTGAGATCAAGAGTTGCATGCCCTACCACTGAGCCAGCCAGGTGCCCCATATAGTCTTCTAAATATAGCCTTTTATGTTTACGCACATTTACATTTCTGGTGATCTTTGTAAATCTGAGTAACTATCTGGTTTAATTTTTCTTCAGCCTAAAGAACTTTTCTTTGGCAATTCTTGTAGTATAGGTTTGGTGGTGAGAAATTTTCAGCTTGTGATAATAAATTATCTTTACAGTTTTAAGGAATAATTTCATTGGATTTGGAGTTCTAAGTAGATCTTTCTCTGGTTTTAGTTACATCATTATCTGGCATTCAAGTTGTTGTTTTCAAAAATACAGTTTTAGAGAGTTGACAGACATTATTGCAGAAGGGTTAGTCCAACAAAACTATTTTGCTATTGTCAGAAGCTAAACTCTTTAAATTCCTTTTTGGAATCCCTTTTATTTTCACTCTCAATGTTTTCATTGTTTCACCTGGGTCTCTACATATATGCCATGTCTCTTTTGTCATTGCCATCATTTTGGATTGGACTGTTGTTGGAGAAATCCAATCTTCCTGATTTTTTTTCGTCCTTCTCCTAATTCTCCAAATTGCACTGCCTTTGACTTCTCTAGTCAAGTAGTTGACAGCTATTTGAGCGTCTGTATATGATCTGATATTTATCAAATTAAACTATTTTTATCATGTCACGTGTGCTTGACAAAGTGCATTGGCTCCCAGTTTTACCACATCACATTTAAATTTGCTGGCCTGACTTTAAAGGTTTCCATAATGTCACAGGGGCCTACCTTTCCTGTTTTCTTTTATGTGTATTTTGTATCAAACAGTTCTTTTCACCCCTCATTTCTTTCAGTATGCATTCCACTCATTCTGTTCTCTGATCTTTCCATTTGAAATGCTCTTTTTTTTTTTTTTTTAATTTTTTTTTTCCCAACGTTTTTATTTATTTTTGGGACAGAGAGAGACAGAGCATGAACGGGGGAGGGGCAGAGAGAGAGGGAGACACAGAATCGGAAACAGGCTCCAGGCTCTGAGCCATCAGCCCAGAGCCTGACGCGGGGCTCGAACTCACGGACCGCGAGATCGTGACCTGGCTGAAGTCGGACGCTTAACCGACTGCGCCACCCAGGCGCCCCAATGCTCTTCTTTTTTTTAACAATATTCCATCAAAGTCCAGTACCTAAAAATCTGTCCCTAAGTTTCAGTCTCCTGTCCTGTAAATGCTAATAACATTGAATTTAAAAGGTTTTTTTTAAATTTTTTTTTTTTAAGAAATTGTGCAGAGTAGTGAATGCCTTCATTTCTCAAGTAGTTGTGTGAATTCCTTACCTTATCAACCAGTGGTAAATGTATGGAGATAGGAGCCATACTTTTCTTATTCAGTATAGTCTTGAATACAATGGCTCTTCAGTGAAAATTCATGCACCAAACAACCACTATCTTAAATTCTATGGGAAGCATGCAAAGGAAGAACTTTTCTTCATCCTCAAACAGTTGACCTGCATGCAAACCTATAATAATAGTGTAAGATACTAATATGGAAGGAATATACAAGGTTCTTTGGGAAGACAGAGTAGTACTAACTTTTTGCAGCAGATTATTTAGTGCTTTAAAAATTTAAACAAGAAAATAAGAGGGATGTAAATTTTTTTGGTTCACAAGATAGAGTTGGTGATGATAGGAGGAAGGAAGGGTTAAAATTGGCAAAGTGAAATATTGGATGGCATTGCTATTTCATTTAAACCGTAGAATCCCTGTTAGGAGCAGACTCCTAATTAACCTTTTTATTACTAAAAAAATGTGTTGTGTCTTTGAAGGGTTGGGGGGGTGGTAAGCATCTTGTTTCATGATACCATGGTAGAAATCAGTGGGGAGATGTGGGAAACCCATCAATCAAATTTGTTTTAAACCCTTATTCATATACTATCTGTGATTCAGGCATAGTGTATTTGCTTTGTGCCGGTAGTTGCTAGGCAGAAGAAATTCTTTTACTTGTCTATTTTTCTGTTTTTGTATTTAATGTAAATTAAAAACTTTATTTTCTATTTTATATTACAGTCTTGGCCCCTTAGTGAGTAAAGTGAAAGAATACCAAGTAGAGACAATTGTAGATACCCTCTGCACTAACATGCTTTCTGATAAAGAACAACTTCGAGATATTTCAAGTATTGGCCTTAAAACAGTAATTGGAGAACTTCCTCCAGCTTCCAGTGGTAAGCAAGAGCACCATTTTCTTCCTAGTTCCTTTTTACTTGGAGGTATTTGCCCTCCACCTTTTTTTCTCCTGGTCAGGGAGGGAGAGCAGTGCCTGTCAAAAGGTCTTTGTAAAGATCCCATTGAACAATCAAGGGAAAAAAAAGCCTGAAGTCCTATTTTTGCTTAAAAATAAATTCAGTTTTCAGTTTTAAATGAATATCTTTTGATTGAAGTATCTTGTAGGAATACCAAGATTTTATATTGTTGTTTGTACCATAACTACAGAATAGAGTTAATGCCAACCTATGCAATGAGGGAAAAGATAACCAAAATTTTGAGTTATTTCTGATTAGTTCTCTATTTTCAGTATTAATTTTGCTTTGTATCAAAATTTATGATGAGTAATACTTAACACCATTAAAACAGCTGTGAAATAGTTGAGTTTACTAGTATCTTTAAGGCTGAATCTACAGCTACCTTGGTAATTTAAAACTACAATTAATGAATTTGTCTATTAATTAGATTTTGGTCTCTGGCACAAATATTTAGGTAATGCAGATTTTAGAATTGGTTTTGACTACTAAGCTATCAGCTAAAATCAGCAGGCTAAGGTTTTTGATGGTCTGATTCACAGATGGGGTGAAATTATTACCTCCCTATTTCGTGGAAAGATGGAGACTGGTGGTAATGTAGTCTAAGTGTGTAGGTTTTACTCCTTTACTTAACAAGTATTGATTAATCATTTGCTCTACTAGCTACCATGCTAGATGATTCACGTGTATTATTTCAGTTAGTCTAAAGATCAGCCATATGGGAGGTCTTAATATTTCCAGTTTATTGTTGAGGGAACTGAAAGAAAGACGAGGTTAATTCACCCAAAGTTTTGATTACCTGTTTGGGTAAAGATTCAAATCCTCCATTATCTTTTAATCCAAAGCTGATGCTTTTTCTACTGTATCTTACCAGTTTGTCCTTACTCTTATTAATTATTTCAATAAAATATCTCTTATATTATTACATTGATTAATTATGTCAATAAAGTATCTCTTGTATTAGTTAACACTGATAATCATCCTTAGTTCTTTTCTCTCATTGAAACATGTTTTAGTTGGTTTCTGGTTCTAACAAGAATTCTAACCATTTAGATTATTTCTTGTTCCTTTTTTTCTTCCACTTGCCAGTAACAATACGAATCTACTTCAGAATAGTAATAACCTTGATTTATGAGTTCTTTGGAACAGCATTTCTACTTCATAATGAAGTTTTGGGATCTTTGGATTGGAGTATGAAGGATCTTATTTTAGGTTACAGCTCTCTCTCTCTCTTTTTTTTTTTAAGAGACCATGTTAGGTATTGGAGATTAGAATATATTTGGTTTTTAGTTCACAGAAATTTTAAAATATCTAGGTTACTAGTAATAAGAGTATTCAAGTAGAAGAATAATCATTTCTGCTTTCCAGTCTAGAGGTGCAAACACTGTAGCCATACTGGCTCCACAGGCGAGTCATTTCTGTATCTAGAAGTAGTTGTCCAGGAGAGTCTGTTGAATTGGTATTGTTTTGCCTATGTCATGTACTCCTTCTGCAGTTATTATTTCTTATTGTTTATGTCTAATAAATTATTTTATTGGAAAACAATCTGTTTTGAAATACATATTTTTCTGACATGAATCTCTTGAGTCAGTCTTGATTATTATCAAGTTTTGAGTTGTTGAATATCTGGTAACCACCATAAATACAAGGTGGAATCAACATACTTACTTGCCTTGAAATTATAATTGGTTTATTATTTATGCAGGCTCTGCATTAGCTGCTAATGTATGTAAAAAGATTACTGGACGTCTTACCAGTGCAATAGCAAAGCAGGAAGATGTCTCTGTTCAGCTAGAAGCTTTGGATATTATGGCTGATATGTTGAGCAGGTAAACATGCCTGTGATTTATATTACTTGTAATACAAAAACTGTGCATTTATTAAAACGCCTTTTGATAAAAAATAAAATTTGGCCTAAAATTGTTCACGTTTGTTTATTTTTAATATTGTTATTTTTTAATTATATTTAAATTGTGGCTGTTTTATAGATATGTGGTTAGGGGTAAGAGGAGAAATAAGCTAATTATTTATCATGTAATCCTGCACAGCAAGCATTTTTTGTAGTTTTGAAAAGTAATAAAATTTGTCATTTGAATGTTTCATCACAGTTTTTATATTTAGTTTTTTACTCTTATATTTTGAATATAATGATCTATTTAGATAAGAGTTGTGTGGGTAGAAGTAACAAATTTTCCAGTTAAAATAATGCTGGTATACATTTTAGCACCCATAATTATACTGCATGTTTTGAGAGGAGGGAGCTTGACTTTGTACATTTGTTCCGTGTTTGCTTTCATCTGGAGGTCAAACTTGGGAAGATAGGAAGATCTAAGCAACTCTTAGGGGGAATATACCTTAAAAGAACTGTCAATTTCATTTTGTCCCTAATTCTCCAAATCATTATGTCTTCATTGTATATTGTTTTTGCCTGATCCACTGCAACTTGAAAATAATCAAATGCCTTCGTCTGGTACATACTTATAGTGAAAGGTAAGAGCAGTCATCCTGGCACACACAAGAGCTTATATGGTACTATAGGAGATAAGGACAAAAATGACTACAATGTAAGATTGAATGAGACTAAATACTGAAACTATTAAGTGTATTTTTGGGTTTAAAATGGACGATTCCAAGATTCCAAGAAAGACTGGCATTTGAATTTAATTTTGAAGAATGGATAGGACACTGGTGTATGTGCCCAGGCTTAGAATATATTAGCATTAAGTAATCTTGGAGTTGGGAAACATTGTATTCTTGTTTTCCATCATATATGAAATGAATAGAAGAGTAGTAGGAAATCATTTTCATAGGTTGTGGTTATGTTGAAGAGGGTGAGGGATTTATACTTAATTTGGTTAAGTAGGAACTATTCAGTTAGACTTCTTGTCCTGTGACTGGATCAGTTGCAGTGTCCTGGCACATAGATGCTTAACTGCTATTGACTCCCTGAACTGCCCATGTGAAATGATTTAGAAGAGAGGGTTGAATCAACAAGATCAATGCAACTTCGTATATAGATGTGTTGAGGAAGGCCGCAGGGAAAGTCAAGAGATGCTGAGATTTTGAGTGTTGTGAACTCCCAAAAAGCTATAATAGAGAAAAAGCTATTAATAGAGAAAACAATTAGAAATCTGGGAGGGGGAGAAAGGGACAAGACCATTGGTTTTTTCATGTATTCTCAAGCTTGTTGGTTGGATAGGGATACAGTTCTAGATTGCAGAAGGGAATTTTGGGATACAAATTTCAAAACTGTGTTTACTTAACTTTTTAGTTGGGTTGGTAGAGAGAGTAAGAATTTAGTTTTACTTGAATTCTGAATTTGAATTAGTGCCTTCTAACATTTTTACTCTTTGACTACATTGGGGTCAGAGGCCAGATATTTAAGTAGTGCTCAAACATTTTGAATTTATTTATTGTTTTCTTTTTTATTTTAAGGCAAGGAGGACTTCTTGTTAATTTCCATCCTTCAATTCTGACCTGTCTGCTCCCCCAGTTGACCAGCCCTAGACTTGCAGTGAGGAAAAGAACCATTATTGCTCTTGGCCATCTGGTTATGAGCTGTGGAAATATAGTTTTTGTAGATCTTATTGAACATCTGTTGTCAGAATTGTCCAAAAATGATTCCATGTCAACAACAAGGACCTACATACAATGTATTGCCGCAATTAGTAGGCAAGCTGGTCATAGAATAGGTAAGAAATATTTAAATACTTTAAAATTTTCTTTAAAGAAAAAAATGAATATTTTTAAGAACCAGTATGCTTTTCTTAGGTGAATACCTTGAGAAGATAATTCCTTTGGTGGTAAAATTTTGTAATGTAGATGACGATGAACTAAGAGAGTATTGCATTCAAGCCTTTGAGTCATTTGTGAGAAGGTAAGTCTTAAGATCTCTATTTTTCAAATAAAAATGTTCCCTTAGAGTAATAATTATGCTTTAGGTTAGGTGGGTGTGGAGAAATGGATTGTTTTGACAGTCAAGATTTGAGTTTTGGATTTCAGATGTATCTTGATTAAATTATTAAGCTGATCATATAGTATTTGAAGTGGATATCATCTTATATTTCAGAATACAGTCTTTATTTTGAAATGTTTCCATTTCATTCTTAGGACTTGAACTTAGAAAGTCATTTATTGTTGTCTTTTGGTTTAATTTGATAATGTGGTTACTATCCTAAAGGGCATTAGGGTAAATTAATTATCTGGCCAAAAATCAATAGTGAATTTTATATCTTTTCAGCAATTGTTGAGGTTTATCACCTCCATTTTGCTAGGACAGTGGATCTCAATTTGGAAACCTTGGTTCTAATAATAAAATCTGCATTTATGTGCTAGAAGGCCATACTGGCTAAGTAGCAGATTTTTTTTGTTTTGTTTTTGCCTTTGGTGAGAATTAAGTTTGGTAGCACAGTGTCTTGAGACTTCACTTGTTATCTGCACAACTTTGTCCTTACCTACTTTGAGAAGCAGCTTCATGGTCATACCAAATTTTTTTTTTTTATGTTTATGAGAGACAGAGCATGGGTAGGGGAGGGGCAGAGAGAGAGAGGGAGACACAGAATCCGAAGCGGGCACCAGGCTTCGAGCTGTCGCACAGAGCCTGACGTGGGGCTTGAACTCATCAACCGTGAGATCATGACCTGAACCGAAGTCGGACGCTTAACTAACTGGGCCACCCAGTCGCCCCTATACCAAATTATTATTTTTATTTTTTTTTTAATTTTTTTTAACATTTATTTATTTTATTTATTTTTTAAAAAATTTTTTTTAATGTTTATTTATTTTTGAGACAGAGAGCATGAGCAGGGAAGGGTCAGAGAGAGAGGGAGACATAGAATGTGAAGCAGGCTCCAGGCTCTGAGCTGTCAGCACAGAGCCCGACGGGGGGCTCGGAATCAATGGACTGTGAGATCATGACCTGATTTAAGTCGATGTTAACCGACTGAGCCACCCAGGTGCCTCCAACGCTTATTTATTTTTGAGACATTGCAGAGCATGAACGGGGGGGAGGGGCAGAGAAGAGAGAGGGAGACAGAATCGGAAGCAGGCTCCAGGCCTGAGCCATCAACCAGAGCCTCGACACGGGCTTGAACTCACGGACCGCGAGATCATGACCTGAGCTGAAGTCGGGCGCTTAACCGACTGAGCCACCCAGGCGCCCCATCCAAATTTTTAAAATCAGAAATTGTGGGATTTGTTTCTGTTCTTTTAATTATTCCTTTATTGTGGGGCATTTCTATGTTCTGTCTCAGAACATATAGCCAGAGCTAGAACATATAGCATATAGCTAGAAGACCTAGCCTAGAAGAGTGTGCACTGGCATTTTTACAAACAGTCCTAGTTGCTGAAGAGCATGTTCACTTGGGCTTGGTCTTCTAGTCATATGTTCAGAAGATAGACATAAATATACAGATTTCTATTCCACCCTAAATTAACCACAGTATATCATTTATTGTAAGAATCATCCTGATTTCAGAGATGTGAAAATGTGAGGGGGAAAGTTCATCTTAAAATCAAGTGTCATTTGAAAAGTAAATATTTTAAAATATGTCGAGTCATTGCTATTGAAAAGGCTAAGAACCACTTTTTCTGTGCTATGTTAAAGGGAAGAAAGAAATCTGGTAATAAAGCAATATGTGTCAGATATTAAATGAAGGGGAAAAATAGTTATTCAAGGCAGCTTTTATTTTTTTTCTTCAGATGTCCTAAGGAAGTATATCCTCATGTTTCTACCATTATAAATATTTGTCTTAAATATCTTACCTATGATCCAAATTATAATTATGATGATGAAGATGAAGATGAAAATGCCATGGATGCAGACGGTGGTGATGATGACGACCAAGGTATTTCAAATTATATGGAAGCAATGTGTTAAATTTTCATCAAAGAGCCAGTGTTATAGATGGAGAGGATTCTTATCCCCAAATTGTACCATTTATTTATAATAGTGAAAGTGGAAATGACCTCAGTATTCAACAATAGCAAGTTGATTAAATAAATTATGGGGCATCTATGTATTAAACTGCTATACAACATTTTCAGAGTCCTGTTCTAGAAAAATATTAAGGCACTTATTAATAAGCTTTGTGAAAAAGTGGGACAAAGTTATGTCCCAGTTTTATTTTTTTTAATATACAGAAAAAAAAGATGTTAGTATTTTTCCCTTAGCTAGCAATATAAACGATATCTGTGTTTTGTGTGTGTGTGTGTGTGTGTGTGTGTTTTGTTTTGTTTTTATTTTTCCTTATTCAAATTTCTACAAAGATTTTGTAAGGAGGGAAATGAATTTTATTTTAAACTGTGATGTAGATCTACATATTCAGTTGTTTGGCTGGTTGTATACATACTTTCATGAAAAATCCTAAATATTGTTTGAGGCTCCATTTAACTTTCATAAATAATCTAGACATTTCTCAGGCTCCTAAGATTGATGTCCTCATGCTGTGATTTGTAGTATTTACTCTGGAAAGGGATAGCACTTTTAGGAACATAGATGTTTGTGTTAAGTTGTTTCTGCTAGTATTAAAAGAATCATAGTGGAGATAATTAAATGGGTAAGTTATGTGGTATATGGGTTGGTGGATTTCATAATAGTTTTCATACTTTTGATTTTTGAATTTATGTCCTCTTAAGTCTATAATTTCATTTGTCTTAAAACAACAAGTGACTATAAAAAAAAATCTCCCTTAACCCAATATTACACAGGCAGCTAATGCCCAGTGTCTCTTACAACCGAACTGAAAAGAACGCTAATTCCTTTTTTCTTCTCTCTTAAATCTAGTCTTCAGTGATGGACAGGATCACCAGTGATCTCAAATGTTTGCCTGTTACTAAGTTCGGCAGTGTTTCTTGAACTTCCAGGGTACCACACTCTCCTGGGTGTAGTCCTGTTTTTGTGATTATCCCTTTTCAGTCTCTGTTCTGGTTGCTCTTCATAATCCTGACCACTAAACTTCAGAGTATTCCAGGGCTTAGACTTCTCTGTGAACTCATATTCTTGTTAATCTTACCTAGTCTCCTAGGTTTAATATCCTTAAATGTCATTTAATATCATTATGCTGAAAACCCAAATTTTTCTTTATTCCAGATCTTTCCTGTGACTTTTAAGTTCATGTATACATCTGCTTAATTGATTCACTGCTTAGATGTATAAAATATCTTCTCCCCACTTTTCCCCTATCTCCTGCCTAACCAGTTTATTCTTTAGCCTTTTCCATCTCATCTTAGTCTCTCAGGCCAAAAACTTTGAGGTTATACATAATTACTTTTTCTTGTATACCCCCCTCATTCAGTCTCTCATCTCCGGGCTTTCCTCTTTATTTATTCCTTCTCAGTGTTTTTATTTTCATTGCATTTAATCCCTTTTGACATATTGTAATTATTTTCCACATCTAGGATGTAAGTTTCATGAAGACAGAGAGTTTTAGTCTCTCTGTTGACTGCTTTATCCCAGTGCCTAGGGTAGTGCTTGGCACACAGTAGGCACTCAGTAAATGTGTTGTATTAATGAAGGGATTATAATAGAATATCCTTTGAAAAAAGCAGTAGCGATATCTTCCAAGTTTTGATTGTTGGTTTTTAGTGTGCCAGGTACTTATGTTGAATAACTAACCAAGTCCTTTAGCTGTTACATCAGTTTTCATGGGTTATACCTAATGACCGTCTTTGCACCATAGTGTTACTGTAACATAAAAGCACCATAATTTCAGTGATTAGGATATTTAATGTTTTAATAACCCTTTTTTTCCAATAAAGTATATTTCTACAAAATAATTCACATGGGTTGCCATGGGGAAAACTTCATTTATTTGTTTGCTTTTAAATAATCTATTTTGATATAGTACCTTTTAATTTTCAAATATGTATTTGCAAATAAGTCATATGCCTTGGGTTTAGTAGTATTTGGTTAGGTTTTCCTATAATGTGCCAAAATGAAATTAAGTAAACAAAACTTTAATATCATCCTAGGATTTTGTAAGGCATAGCTGGCCACATTTAGCTGTCATTAAGCTAATTGGAATATAAGCCAGTGAAGAGATGACCTCTTTTCCCCCCACTGAGGAATCAGCGTGTCAGGGCTATAATCTTATCTAATAACAAAATTATTGTTAATTTTAGACTGTTCTAAGAACGCTAGCATTTTTGCCATCCTCCTGACTTTATGTTGCCCAACTGATTCAGTCTGATAGTGTTGGAAGGAAATAATTTTCAGAGATTTCACACACATTACATATGTATGTAATGAAGCATACATAAGTGAGGTGGAGTTGATAATGCTTATACTTGGAATGCTTATTGTTTTAAGGCTTAACAGGAATTTGGAGAAGATGGTGCTTTGTTGTTAGAAGGATTTTCTTGTAATTGAGGAAGTCTTGTGTTTTTAAACTGTCATGAGAATATGTTGAAAGGTTGAAAATACACATATTTTTTCCTAAAAGCCCGTCATTAAATGTAGTGAAAACCCTTGTAATCCCAAAGAAAGCTGATGTCAGTCAGGATTCTTTCTCTCCCCAGAAAATTAGTCTACAGCATGTCCTAGGATTGTAACCATGCTTTTTAATATATCATCTATAGTCACAAGTCATATTTGCTGGTTTATCTTATTAACGCCTCTGTGATTGATTGATTGCTTTTCCTATAGTGTCAAGTAAGTAAACATACTGTTTAAAAGGTTGGGATGAGAGATTTATGTTTTACAAGTGTTTATTTTGGAAAGAAGTTTCATGTGTTAATAATTTAAAAATGATTTTAAATGATTTAAGCTGCTCATTACCCGTAATAAGTGAGAAGATGATTAACGAGTTAAAAACAATTACGATTATTTTCTTTAGAGGTAATTTATATGTAACTTGGTATAATTTCTATCTGTTAAGTACTTGCTCTTTTAAGACTTGCTGTACTTAAGTGAAAAGTTTTAAAACTGTCTTAGTTTGAATATCGATTCACTTTCTGTATTAAATGATAAACTTTTCTTACCTGTTAACATTAAAACTTCTCTCTAGGGAGTGACGACGAATACAGTGATGATGACGACATGAGCTGGAAAGTGAGACGTGCGGCCGCTAAGTGCTTGGATGCTGTAGTTAGCACAAGGCATGAAATGCTTCCAGAATTCTACAAGACTGTCTCTCCTGCACTGATATCGAGATTTAAAGAGCGTGAAGAGAATGTAAAGGCAGATGTTTTTCATGCATACCTTTCTCTTTTGAAGCAAACTCGTCCTGTACAAAGTTGGCTGTGTGACCCTGATGCTATGGAGCAGGGAGAAACACCTCTGACAATGCTTCAGAGTCAGGTCAGTTTAAAAGCATGATTGAGGGGCGCCTGGGTGGCTCAGTCAGTTAAGCGGCCGACTTCGGCTCAGGTCATGATCTCGCGGTCCGTAAGTTCGAGCCCCGCGTCAGGCTCTGTGCTGACAGCTCAGAGCCTGGAGCCTGTTTCGGATTCTTTGTCTCCCTCTCTCTGACCCTCCCCCGTTCATCCTCTGTCTCTCTCTGTCTCAAAAATAAATAAACGTTAAAAAAAAAAATTAAAAAGTATGATTGGAAGTCATGTTCATAAATATGATCTTGTAAAATTGGGTTTTTATATGGAAATGTGAGTCTCAGAACATCTTCAGAGAAGCAGAGTTCTGGGATATACTTCTATAGGAGTTTATGTATACTCATTCATGCTGTGTCACTTATAGTTTATCCTGATTGAGGTATTCTTGATTTATTAGATAAGCAATATTAAAATAATTTTAAGATTCAGTAAAATTATCTCTGATGTTAACAGAGGAATCTTAGGAGTGAAGCAAAGTATGAACACAAGTAGTGTGACTCCACAGCTCTAATTTAGCTGCATGATCCTGGACAAGGTAGTTATTTTTTTAAACCTCACTTTTCTCACGCGTAGTAATGGTTTACTTAGAATTGTCTACCCAGGGAAGTAAGAGATGAGATGATCTATGTAAACATTTAGTGTAGTGCCTAGTACATAGTAAGTACTTACGGATTTTTATTAATAAGAGCTGGCATTGATATTTTTCACTTTAGGACATCTCTAAGATTCTAAAGATCAGAGCTAGATAGCTCCTATTGAATGTTTGGTGCACGCTAGGCATTTTCCTATCTTGTATTTAATCCCTACAGCAGCCCAATGGTGTACACATTGGTTCATTTTTATAGATTACAAAACAGATGTTGAGAGGGACTGAACAACGAAACTATGGGAGATGTACATACCGTATGTCTCTTGCTTTCAAGTAGTACAAATTAACAGAAAATTCCTGGTGAACTTAAAGGTGAACATTGAAGAATGCACTGTAGAAGGAAACGAGATAAAGTGTATGGAGGACACAAGCCATTAAATAAATGTATAGAAGTCAGGTAAAATCATGGGACATTCTGATGGTTTGACAAATCAGGTTGTGGTCTTTTGTCTCTAGCCCTCAGATCACTCAACATGGTATGTGTCTGTATGTATCCTCCCACCCAAATACCCTATTTATGTTTTACCAGCTAACAAAACGGTAGAAAGTTTAGAAGCAGATGTCTTTGAATCATAAACTTGCTGCATGTAGCTATATTTTGAAGTGAGGTCTTAACTTCATTGTGAGAGCAAACTAAAAGCAAAAATAAAGACCTGTTTAATGGTTTATTTTCCATAGTTTGTCCCTTTTCGTTTAATGCGTATCTGTGCTATTTTTGTTCAAAAAGCCATTTATAAATTATGTTGCTAAAATTTTGGTTGAAAATTTACTATTTGGTTAGATTTCTACTTAGTCTTAGGTATTTCAGAATCAAAAATTAATTAAGGAAGACTTGTTGCTCTGTTAGAGAGCTAATGCTAGCTTTTCTCTGTTATCAGTATAAAGCAATACAGTTCAAAGAACACAAATGTAGTGGGTACAACAAAAGCTGCATCAGACAATCTTGTTAGTAGATAGCGGAATTAGGAATTTGACAAAAAAAGATAAACTGTTCATTCTCCCCGTCCCCTATAATTTGTGGTAAGTGTACTGAGGAAATACCAATAGCTAATGAGTGTGTGATAATTACAGGTTCCCAACATTGTTAAAGCTCTGCACAAACAGATGAAAGAAAAAAGTGTCAAGACCCGGCAGTGTTGTTTTAACATGTTAACTGAACTGGTAAATGTACTACCTGGAGCCCTAACGCAACACATTCCTGTACTTGTACCAGGTATGAAAGATAAATCACTTTGGGGACTTACCACAGACTATTATTAAGTCTTCGATAAGCTTAAATCGTTGTTTCCTTCAAAAGCGTAATTTGTGACAACTTAATTTGCACGTACAACCATCTTGAACTCAAGTTAGAAACTTTCAAGTACAAAGTTTAAAACCTTACTGTAACTTTCTTGGCTGTCCTATTTATTGTAGATTGTGGAGTCTCTACTACTTTAGAGATAGTATGACGAAGTGGGAACTTTAGTAATATTTTAGGGATTAGGTTTTAATTTTTTTCTTTCATGAAACTAAGAATTATTGGACTTTTTTTTTGTTGGCCTTTTAGGAATCATTTTCTCACTGAATGATAAATCAAGTTCATCAAATTTGAAGATTGATGCTCTGTCGTGTCTGTATGTAATCCTCTGTAACCACTCTCCTCAAGTCTTCCATCCTCACGTTCAGGCTTTGGTCCCTCCAGTGGTGGCTTGTGTCGGAGACCCATTTTACAAGATTACATCTGAAGCACTTCTTGTTACCCAACAGCTTGTCAAAGTAATTCGTCCTTTAGATCAGCCTTCCTCGTTTGATGCAACTCCTTATATCAAAGATCTATTTACCTGCACCATTAAGAGGTTAAAAGCAGCCGACATTGATCAGGAAGTCAAGGAAAGGGCTATTTCTTGTATGGGGCAAATTATTTGCAACCTTGGAGACAATTTGGGTTCTGATTTGCCTAATACGCTTCAGATTTTCTTGGAGAGACTAAAGAATGAAATTACCCGGTTAACCACAGTGAAGGCGTTGACACTGATTGCTGGGTCGCCTTTGAAGATAGATTTGAGGCCTGTCCTGGGAGAAGGGGTTCCTATCCTTGCTTCATTTCTCAGGAAAAACCAGAGAGCTTTGAAACTGGGTACCCTTTCTGCTCTAGATATTCTAATTAAAAACTATAGTGACAGCTTGACAGCTGCCATGATAGATGCAGTTCTAGATGAGCTCCCACCTCTTATCAGCGAAAGCGATATGCATGTTTCACAGATGGCTATCAGTTTTCTTACCACACTGGCGAAAGTGTATCCCTCCTCCCTTTCAAAAATAAGTGGATCCATTCTCAATGAACTTATTGGACTTGTGAGATCACCTTTATTGCAGGGGGGAGCTCTTAGCGCCATGCTAGACTTTTTCCAAGCTCTGGTTGTCACTGGAACAAATAATCTAGGCTACATGGATTTGTTGCGCATGCTGACTGGTCCAGTTTATTCTCAGAGCACAGCTCTTACTCACAAGCAGTCTTACTATTCTATTGCCAAATGTGTAGCTGCCCTTACTCGAGCATGCCCTAAAGAAGGACCAGCCGTAGTAGGTCAATTTATTCAAGATGTTAAGAACTCAAGGTCTACAGATTCCATTCGTCTCTTAGCTCTGCTTTCTCTTGGAGAAGTTGGGCATCATATTGACTTAAGTGGACAGCTGGAACTAAAATCTGTAATATTAGAAGCCTTTTCATCTCCTAGTGAAGAAGTTAAATCAGCCGCCTCCTATGCACTAGGCAGCATTAGCGTGGGCAACCTTCCTGAGTATCTGCCATTTGTCTTACAAGAAATAACCAGTCAACCCAAAAGGCAGTATCTTCTGCTTCATTCCTTGAAGGAAATTATTAGCTCTGCATCAGTGGTGGGCCTTAAACCATATGTTGAAAATATCTGGGCCTTATTGCTAAAGCACTGTGAGTGTGCAGAAGAAGGAACCAGAAATGTTGTTGCTGAATGTCTAGGGAAACTCACTCTAATTGATCCAGAAACTCTCCTTCCACGGCTTAAGGGGTATTTGATATCAGGTGGGTACCTAGATTTTCTTACTTAAAATTTTATTAGCAGTTGGTAACAACCTATTGCCATATTCAAGTGACATTTTGTTGTTTAAAAAGCTAGAATAATAAGATAACGGTTAAATGAATCTGTTCTAATTTCCAGTGTTCATTATATTTCAGTGCTACTTTTTAATCTTAAAATTGTGGAAAAGACAGATGTTTGTTGAATTAACGTCTCCTAAGGAGCTTGGTAGTACTAATTATAATACTAAAATTAATGAATTTAGTTCAAAGGAAAGAACCTAGGAGAGTTTTGTTTTCAGATTACCAGTGTCAACTCCTTTCGACCAAATAGGGGATAATAATAGCCATTGCTTTTTTTAGAAGCTGCTTTTTTAAGAAATTGTGGGTTTAAACACTTCCCTTTTGTGAGGGCTTAGATCCCCCACTGCTGTTCTTCCAGCCCTTCTCCTTCCCAGAAGACATTATTTCTTTTGAAACCTAATGGGATTATAGTTTACGAGTAAAACTTTGCTTCCCTGAGAACAGTAAGTGTCACCCCTCTGGACCAAAGAGAATTTTAAGGAATTGAAGACACTGGTGTTAGTTGAAAGTGGTTTGAAAATGATAAAGATGCCCGTGGATTTTAGTGAATTTACATACCAGTAGACTTAAAATTTATTTTTAATTAGGCTCATCGTATGCCCGAAGCTCTGTGGTTACAGCTGTGAAGTTTACTATTTCTGATCATCCGCAACCTATTGATCCATTGTTAAAGAACTGCATAGGTAAGTGGAAACAAAGGTGAACATACTGATTAATAATTTCAGTAGCCAAAAATACTACCAAGGAACTAAAATGCTTTTAAGGGTCTGGTAATTATTTCATTAAAAAGATAATTGATAATGTGTGATTATCTATCATCCCTCAGTTTGCAGTTGTTACCAGATAATCTTGCAAATCACTGAAATTGGTAAATAACACTAGGATGTCCTTCAGAGTCAACTACATATTTGGTTCTTGCTTTATCTGTGGGAGCCCCGGTTTTCTGTTATTACTTGTAAACCCTCCAGCTCCCAGGGAGAACTGTGAAGACTTCATATGTAAGGTGGAAACGGTGGAAGAATAAAAAACTGAGTCAGGTAGAACTAAGATAGCCAAGAAAGACTAGGGCTGTCTCTGTTTCTGTGACGTCAAGAATTAGCTTCTAGGATTATTAGTAATGATTTTATAATTTCTTGTGTTGATTTCATCATCATCAATTTTCTTAGAGTTGGTAAAACTAAAAACCTTTAGAGCTTAGTTTGGTGTTTTCTTGGAAACAGAGCAATGACAATAACAGCAGAGAGAATAGAGGGATATGGCAAAGAAGCTTTGTAGTTTCGTGCCATTGTGCAGTAGGCCAACAAAGGGAAAAAACACAATTTAAAAGAATTGCAGTGGATTACCTGGTGATCAAAAAGAAGGAAATCTTGTGATTTGTAACAACATGGATGGAACTAGAATGTATTACGCTAAGAGATAAATCAGAGCAAGATGAATATCATGATTTCACTCATGTGGAATTTAAGAAAACAGATGAACATAGGGAAGGGAAGGAAAAATAAGGTTAAAACAGGGAGGCAAATCATAAGAGACTCTTAAATACAGAGAACAAACTGAGGGTTGCTGGAGGGGTACTGGGTGGGGAGATGGGCTGAGTGATGGGCATGAAGGAGGGCACTTGTTGGGATGAGCATTGGGTGTTATATGTAAGTGATGAATCACTAAATTCTACTCCTGAAACCATGATTACACTACATGTTAACTAACTTGGATTAAATAAAAATGAAAATGGATTTTCAGTTAAGAAATGGATTACCAGTTAATAAGAGGGATGCAGGGATAAATGGATGCTATCGCTGGGACCTAGAAATAATTTAAAGAAGGTCTGTATTGGAAGATTCTTGCCTTTGTTCTCCTCACCTGTTTTTTTGCTTTGATATATTTGTTGACATTTTTTGTGTTGTACAAGATAGGACAAAGAATCCTACGCCACATCTCTAGAGACATATTTCCAAGTTGACAAGTCAACTATTGTGTATTGTTGGTGTAGTTATTTGATCAGATGATTGTCATTCTCTTTGAATTATGATCTAGTTTAGTATTATTTGTGACTAATATGAACATCAGAACCACCTAGGAAGCTTTTTAAAAATTATAATTTTTAAACTGAAGATTTGGGGATCTTTGATCCTAGTCCATGTCATCATTTGTCCATAATAATAGCAATATTTTAGATGCTTTTCTGAAAGCAGATAATTAGAATAAAGTATTATTCTCATTTACTGTCTTAGTAATTCTAAGCAAAGAGAGGGATGAGGAGATTTAGTCTGGTGTATTTGAATTCTTTTTGAATCCAAGGTATCTCCTGAACTTTTTTGTAATCAGAAGTTTCCTGGGGGGTCAGCCTTGAGTTTGCCCCCCAGTGTATGATGTCTGAAGTATTACTTCCTTTCCATTTTTTCAAATTGCCGTTGTGATACAGTCAAGTGTTGGCACTGCTCTTTTTCCCCATGTATTCCAAAAGATTGCTGATTGTAGGGTTGAGACTGCATAATGAAGAATGGTAGCTCCATAAGAATACCAGGTATGTCCCAGACTATTCAACAGTGTACATGCAGCTTATTCTACTCATGTAGTCTTAAAAGGTTTGGAATGCTCACTTTATAAGCTGAGAAACTGAGGCTCTTGCCTAAAGTACCTTGCCAAAAGTCATAAAATTGGCAAATGAAGTGATTTGGATCCCCCTCTGTGTGACTCCAAACATCTTTGCACTATAATTTCTTCCCCACATTTGCAGTTTCTACTTTTTGTTCTGTGTTGAGTTTCAGGTTCCTCCTTCTGTATTCTTTTTTTTTTTTTAATTTTTTTTTTTTCAACATTTATTTATTTTTGGGACAGAGACAGAGCATGAACGGGGGAGGGGCAGAGAGAGAGGGAGACACAGAATCGGAAACAGGCTCCGGTGCCTAATATCAGCCCAGAGTTCCCAATGCTGGGCCCTCGAATCCTCACGGACCGCGAGATCGTGACCTGGCTGAAGTCGGACGCTTAACCGACTGCGCCACCCAGGCGCCCCCTCCTTCTGTATTCTTAACCTCTTACCAATTCATACATTCGGCATTAAAGATAGAAATAAAAGTATTTTGAAGGCGCATGTCTCCTTATCATCCGATAAATTGTGTACTTGTTAATAGTGTTCAGTTTATCAAGTAGCAGATCTGTCTCAGGCTAATTATTTTATTCGAACTCAGTTTTTTCTGTTTTTGTTGCTTTTAGTGAAAATACTAATTTTGAACTCTTGAGTGCACCATTCGCAATATTTTTATAGCTGCTGGTTCCGTCACTTCTCTGTGCAACCTACCTTTTTTTTAAAATTAAGTATCTGTAGGGGCGCCTGGGTGGCTCAGTCGGTTGAGTGTCCGACTTCAGCTCAGGTCACAATCTCACGGTTCGTGAGTTCGAGCCCCACGTCGGGCTCTGGGCTGATGGCTCAGAGCCTGGAGCCTGCTTCCGATTCTGTGTCTCCCTCTCTCTCTGCTCCTCCACCGTTCATGCTCTGTCTCTCTCTGTCTCAAAAATAAATAAACTTTAAAAAAAATTTTTTTTTTAAATAAAAAAAAAATAAATTATCTGTAAACGTAATTGAAGAACTTTTGGGGCTCACTCATTCCATACCCTCTGCATTATATAATGGTGCTAAGAATCGGTTATCATGTCTGAATGTGAGTGGGTCTAATTGATTACCTGTTGCCAAAAGAAGTTCTGTATTTCACTTATCGTGTCCTTCTGTCACCTGCATGGAAGAAATAATAATATCAACATAAACTTAGCCATTTAGAAAAAATATATAATGTATATTGTATTTTAAGCCTACCATGACTATATGATGTTTCTCTTAAAATTTTCAGGTGATTTCCTAAAAACACTGGAAGACCCAGATTTGAATGTAAGAAGAGTAGCCTTGGTCACATTCAATTCAGCAGCACATAATAAACCGTCATTAATAAGGGATCTTCTAGATACTGTTCTGCCACATCTTTATAATGAAACAAAAGTTAGAAAGGAGCTTATAAGAGAGGTAAGTTAGTTACATTACTGTTTATGTAAGCTTGTCCTTTACTTTTAAGTATATCCACACATTCTTTTTTGTTTCAACAGGTAGAAATGGGTCCATTTAAGCATACAGTTGATGATGGACTGGATATTAGAAAGGCAGCTTTTGAGTGTATGTACACACTTTTAGACAGTTGTCTTGATAGACTAGATATCTTTGAATTTCTAAATCATGTTGAAGATGGTTTGAAGGACCATTATGATATTAAGGTAAGATATTTGTGCCTGTTTATAAATTGCTTTAGAGGAAGACTTTGCTATAGTGACTTTCACCCTTGCAATTTACTCTTGTGTATTAAGAAAAATTGATTTGCTTGTCATGATTTAATAAGTGTACTATAAACTAGAATATGCAAAAGTAATAGTAATACAGTGTAACATTACAGGGAAAATCCAGAAACCTCATTGGAGGAGGAAGTCAAGTCTAAGTTATGGATGGAAAATTCTCAAATTCTGTATGCCAGCTTGCTTTAATGCATAGACCAGAGATCTTTCCATTACTTAAAAGAAGAGTCCAGGCAGGTTTTGGTGTTCAGAGTATAAGGAGTGAAATTATTACTACTACTACTATATATATA